GCTAGAATTTGAAAATACACAACCGGAAAAAATCTGCCACTTCCTTACAGAGCCCCTCCTCCAACACGCACGAACGCCGGGCCGGGCCGGGCCGGCTAAAATGATTGGTCGTGCTTTTTACAATACTACGGCTTCCACAGATGACATTTTTGTATGGATTTTTTGTCAAAGCACTTAAGATATTCATTGCTATCGGGATGTTAAGAGCATTCCATGGAATATAACAAAAAGTGTATCTCGAGCCGGTTTCTCAAACTTACCTACCCCACCTTTAATTATTATTTATGTTTTATTATTATTATTATTATTATTATTATTATTTATGTATCAAGTTTACTTCACCTCACATTTGTCTTGCAACATAAAATGCACTATTTTATTCTAATCGATTCTACGGTTTCTTTTTGCACTATTTTAATTTAATTAGTTTTTTTATCAGTTTTATTGTTTTTTGTCCTCTATAAATATGTTGCAATGTTGGAGGAGCCTGGGACTTAAGATTTGCATTGCCATGTCTACACTGTACTGTGCATATGACAATAAAGCCTTTGCATGTTGAATCTACCACCCCCACTGGTCCTTTTCCATACATGATTTACTCTTTACAGCTCTTTGCACAAATGGTAACTGTATTTTGATGTCTCAGTTGAACCTGAAAATAACTAATTGTTGTTTCAAATGACATGTTATGAAGCGTCTAAAAGATAACATTAACACTAATTAAACATTAAATCTAAACAGTTTGCAATACTTTATCATATATTCTTATATATTTGATGTGATCTGTGGCAAGATCTGATTGATTCCTTGTCCCTTTTAGGTTTCATTTGTGCATGTTGCAACACCCATTTTGAACATTAAACAAATAATATATTTGTTGTTGGGTTTAGCTTCCACAGTATCTACTTATCTAAGTTCAGAGATTGCTCTCTTTAAATCCCAATGTGGGAATACATTTTAGTTTCAGGTCTCCTCCTATTACATCACATATGTAGTATGGATATGTAGAAGCACAATTGCAACTGGGTTGACCCTCTTTCTCAAATGTATGCATGCAAAGAATTGAGGGACAGAAAATCCCCAAAAATGATGCTACAATACAACCAGATGCAGTACAACATATTCTTTGCCTTCTGCATGTAAAATACCATGTCATCTTCTGCCATAATAAATGTATGGTAGTACTGATGCATGCCTTCTTTATCAAGTATTTAAAGTATATCAAGTATATAAAGAAATTAGATTCAGACTTAAATTGTATACCTCATATAAGCAGGGTGACTAAGACAGCCTTCTTTCACCTAAGTAATATTGCCAAAGCACGCTCATTTTTAAACCGACCAAAGGCTGAAAAGCTCATGCATTCATATCAAGTAAGTTGGACTACTGTAATGCACTCTTCGCTGGTCTTCCAAAAAAAATCAATGGAAAAGCTTCAACTTATCTAGAACTCCGCCGCAGGCTTTTAACAAAAACCAGAAAAAGAGAGCACATTACTCCTGTTTTATCTGAACTACATCGGCTGCCAGTGTCTTTTAGAATTTATTTAAAAAAATGTTTAGTGGTTTTTAAAGCTCTTAATGGTTTGGCAGCCACGTATCTCACAGAGTCTCGTTGTATGTCCCTAGGATGTGTTGCCCTGGACGAGCCCTGAGGTCCACTTCAGCTTTTTAAATATCCTAAAGTCCCCCAAAATAAAATGGGTGAGGCTTTCATCCACTACGCTCCCAAACTGTGGAACACCAGGAAATATCAGAGAGGACTCAGTGGACGTGTTTAAACGACAGCTAAAGACACATCTTTTTAGATTGGCTTTTTATTAGCGACATCCGCCCTTTAAAGTATTTTAGTCTTTATTATTTACCTACTTTGATATATATATATATTTATTCATCTTAAAGGGTTTTATCTTATATTATTTATTATCTTTCCGAGATGAATCATTATTTACTTGATTGTATTACCTTATTAATATGATTGTATACCTTTTGCCTCCTTGTGTCTCTTAACCTGTTAAAATGTTATATGTTGCTGCATGTATCTGTAAAGGTCTTCACATCTGATCTGAGGGGAATTTCTTGTTTATTTTTTACTTGTGATGTCTGCCATTTTGTAAAACACTTTGAGCAGCACGTGCTGTATGAAAAGTGCTATATATATCAAGCTCTATTATTATATAATCTCCCCCTTAAGGTTAAATGTGGTTCTCTTTATAAAGAGCACTTTTTTCTCGTTATGATTTGGTTATTTTTACCCATTTCATTTTTCAATTTTGTGATATTCTCTGTTTGGTTATTATCTGTACCTTATTTTGAGCTTTCCGAACTACTACACAATAGGTATTTCATTACGAATAAAAGTAAGAAGAGCAGAAGCCTACATTAATGACCAAAATAAGATGAAAAAATTGACATGAAATTCATTAACAAGTTCCATGATCAAACTATGTGTTGTCTCTTTAGATTTATGAGGTGTATTTCCTTTATTTTGTGTCACATATAACAACAAACCCTGATATATCCTATGGACATTTGATTGTTTGATTTACTGTTTTTTGTATTAAAATATCCTATATTTATTCCTTTAATTTGTATAAATGTAAAACACCTTCCCTTGTGAGGGATGGAGATAAAGCTAATATTATGAGACGCTTAAGAGGGCATGTTATTTATTTGAAAATGTGGTTAAAGCAATGACTTGTTAAACAGGATAAGTTGCATACACCATTATGTTTATATTCAATTTAGTTTGCCTCACATTTAGGAAATTATTTGAGATTCTAATAATCCATTTGGGATCAAATTGAGATTTAACAGTCTAGTGTTAATGAAAAATATCATTTCATAACTAATTCCAAGCCTTTGTGCTGGTGTATGGTTCTAATTCCTTCACTTAAGTGTATGTTTCTCTGATTTTCTACAATTAATAAAGTGATAATACTTGTCTGATGTTGACAGTCAGTGGGAGTTCTGCTACCAAGAGTTAGTGTCTGTTTGAGAGCCTTTGTGACCTTACAGGTTTAGATCTATCTGTCCAACACATTTCAGAATGTAAAAATATATGATAATACTCATACTATATCAATATAGTTGTATTGTGATACATGAGAAAAGCTGTGCTAAATCAAGGTCTCTCACTGTTGAGTAACAAAGTCTGTATTTAGAACACAGCCAGGGCCTGTCCTGAGTGTGTTTGCAGACAGCAGAATTACCTCTGTTTAACAAAAAGGTGTTGACAAATTTGGATTTGTTTCACATTGAGTCTTTAATCCAACATTTCATTTCACTATATTACAAGTTTTAGTGGGATTATAATGTATTTTAAATCCTTTAAGAGAGAGATTACAGAGAAAAGTCGCAGATCTCTACCACTCACGGCAGCAGTTTCAGGAGGTTTAAAGCCTTCCCAATGAAAAAAACACAATATTTAAAGCTTTATTTGGCTTCTATATGAAGATAAAGTCATCTGCTATCAATTCGATTAACCTTTGAAATTCAACTCGTTCTCTAAATGTGTATTTCTTACAGTTTTAGCTGAAGAGAAAACACAAAGTGGCACAGTTTTTCGGCAGCTCCTGTGTGAGCCACACTGAGTTGAGTCTCTACGGTTCTCATGGTGTGTTTAAGTTCCTCTCTTCGCTGTGATTTCTCTATCCGTCTCATCAGACCCAAGAATCCTCCTGACAGCATCATGGCAACAGAAGAAGCTCCCACTGAAGTCGCCGCCGCCCCGGCAAAGGCACCAGCCAAGTCCCCGAAGAAGAAGGCAGCCAAGCCGGCCAAGAAGGTTGGTCCCGGAGCCGCTGAGCTCATCTTGAAGGCGGTCACCGCCTCCAAGGACCGTAAAGGGATCTCTTACATCGCTGTGAAGAAGGCGCTGGCCGCTCAGGGCTACGAACACACCGCTCACATTAAACGCGCCGTGAAGAGGTTACTCGAGAATGGATCACTTGTGCAGGTCAAGGGAATCGGAGCCACCGGCTCCTTCAAGGCAGCCGAGAAGCCCAAGAAGGTAGCGAAGAAGCCCGCAGCCAAAGCCAAGAAGCCGGCAGCAGCAGCAGCAGCGAAGAAACCCGCCGCTAAGAAGCCAGCCGCTAAGAAGCCAGCCGCCAAGAAGGCAGTAACACCCAAGAAGGCGAAGAAGCCTGCTACTGCTGCAAAGAAAACCCCCGTGAAGAAGATCACAAAGAGCCCGAAGAAGAAGTTGGCGGCCAAGAAGGCAGCACCCAAGAAGGCAGCGACCCCCAAGAAGACAGCAACCCCCAAGAAAGCTGTGAAGAAGGTGGTTAAACCAGCTGCCAAACCAGCGAAGAAGGCACCAGCCAGGAAAGCAGCGAAGTAAACGGATCGTCTACTTCCTCTACAAAAGGCTCTTTTAAGAGCCACCCACATACACCAAAAGAGCACTCCTTTATAATATTTAATTTAGCATAAACAGAAGACTCACAAAAGTCACTCACAAAATACATATTTTCCCAAACACTTGATTGTGTATAAACCCTATATGTTGTATAGGCCTATATAACTTCATATAAATGTACATAGTACATCATTTTACATTTTATTTTAATATGTGTGGATCGAAAATTATTTAATGCTTCATATCATTGTGACTATATTATTACACATTAATGCACTTTTACTTGAGGAGATCAGATTAGCTCCTGATTTTGATAATTAATGATATGTTTAATAATTACATTTGATTGGATATACTTTAATGGCTGCAAATTGTACATTAGTTTTGTCACATCAGCATGCCAAACTATCTTATAGTGTGCTTCACTTTGAAAAGTACACTTTATTTGATAATATTTCTCTAAGAATACACTATATTGTATATGTGTATAGATCTATTTCATAGTATTTGATATTCGATTATTTAATGTGAGGTCTGTTGTACTTGACACAGTGAATGGACTAACGCTTCTCTGATTGGTCGATGAGATGAAGTGGGTGGCTCTTAAAAGAGCCGTTGGTTTGTAGCAGTAGCGGCGCAGTTTACTTGGAGCTGGTGTACTTGGTCACAGCCTTGGTGCCCTCAGACACGGCGTGTTTAGCCAGCTCTCCGGGCAGCAGCAGGCGGACAGCGGTCTGGATCTCCCTGGAGGTGATGGTGGAGCGCTTGTTGTAGTGAGCCAGACGAGAGGCCTCACCGGCGATGCGCTCAAAGATGTCGCTCACGAAGCAGTTCATGATGCCCATGGCCTTGGAGGAGATGCCGGTGTCGGGGTGGACCTGCTTCATCACCTTGTAAATGTAGATGGCGTAGCTCTCCTTCCTGGACTTTCTCCTCTTCTTTCCAGTCTTGGTGGCGGTCTTATGGCGCATTTCCACCATGGCGCGGAGCGCGGTTTAAGCGTGCCGTGTCGTGCCGTGTCGTGCCGGGCCCGTTTTTGGTTGCGTTTCCACTATGCCTAGTTCCGGCCCGGGGCTACTTTTTCACCTTTTTTCTGGCCTGACAAAATCGTGGTTCTATCGGGGCCAACAAACAGGGCTGAGTCGGGCTGAGTTTGCTAAACTAGAGAGAGAATCGCTGGCAAGGGGGCTACAACTACAACAAGATGAACATATTTGACCGTGATTTAATTGTAATACACGTTTCAAAATTATGCCGAAGTAACAACATACTGATACCGGTTAGTAAAAACCATGAATTAATGCTTTGACAAGTCTGCAGACAGACGGCAGGCGAAAAACCTTTTAAAATGCGCGTTGTCTAAATGGAGATCGGCTAAGCTAATGCAATATATGCTCCGACCGTCCACACTCACAACAACGGCCTACAGACATAAATAAAGCAGCGACTGTATTCGCCATGACACAGGCAGTCTGTGGTTTGTACTTGTTTAACTTTTGTCTAGTTTCTGAACAGATATGAGGAGCTGTGAGCTTGAGTGCTAGCAGCTAACGGCTGTGTTGTTTTTCTGGGGTTCTCATTGAAGATGACGTCACGGCTCCGCCTACACTGCGTTACTATAGATACTACCCCAGTTCCTAAACTGTAATGGAAGCTCAGCATTAAAGTGAGCTGGGCCTATCAAGGCCTAACAAGGCCTAACAAAACCGTACTAAGTCGAGCGAGGCCCTCCGGTGGAAATGCGCCATTAGAGACGGCTTTCTTGGAGCCCTTCTTGGGCGCTTTGACGCTGGCTGCTTCAGGCATGATCAACGGTTGAAGGTTGACAAAGTTGAAATAATTCACAGAGACACAGCGTGGTCTATTTATATTCATCCGATGCAAATGTGACTGTGCTGTTGCTCGCACGGGATTGTTTGGGTACTGAGCATGTGCTAAACAAATCACCCGTTGAGCATAGTTTTTGAGAATAGAAAAGAAACATTGTTTTTAATTGAAATCTAAATAATGAAATAAACCAAAAAAGACTTGATACATTACAGTATATTGTTAGTTCAGATTAAGATAAAATATAAAACGGTTGAAGAACTTTGTCTATTTTAAAAACTGAAAATGATAACCTAAATCAAGAAATATGATATCATACATAAACAATCAGATACTATATTACCCAAGGCAATCTAGTGCAAGCCATTCAAACTGGTCCAAAAAGAAAGCATTTCATATATTTCTAGAGATTACATGAAGGCTGTCCTGATGCCTTTATAACAAACCTGTAAATGTCTGAATTGAATCGAGTGTGTGCATTAATGAAAATGTTTTTTAAGTAAAGGGCTTTCTTGTATTTATTTATGTGATCGATGTATTAAGCTAATGATTCCATGTGGAGAGAAGGGCTTTAAACGTAATAAATAGGCTAGGGAAAAGGTACACATTAGATAGTATATACCCATAGACATTTCCAAAACCTAATGTAAATATTGAAATAACAGAAAAGAGGTGAGAGTGGACAGCAATGCTAACAATATTTTAGACATTTGTTTTTGGATATCTGAAGTATAAGCACTAACAGAGCATGGTATAATGACAACTTGGCAGGATATCTTGAATAACTGAGTGTAGAGATAATAACATAATTTAAATCTGTCAATGTCAACTAATATAGGTGAATGTAGAATGTTGTAGATCAGGACTCAATGAAACCATATTACATCAAATTAAATGTGAGACTTAAAGAATGTGGGAAACATAATTAGTTGATAATGTATGGATATGATGTAGAAGATTCAGTGTAAAAATAGAAAGAATGAACGAAAGGGTAGTGAGAAGAGCTGTCTTTTACTATTATTGGTGGACATCAGCTTGTTGTAGCTGGTTGGTGTAGTTTTTTGATGAAATGCTTGTAATTAATTTCCTCCACAGGTATGAGTGGAAGTTCACAGGCCCATTATTGAGTTAGGTGTTCATCCTCAAATTCAGGGAAGATAATACAGACCTAGTTCTTTCCATGATGACATGTTTAGCCTTAAAAGCATACATTTGTGTGCCTAAAACACCATTATCATTACCTGTAAATCAGTCCTGTTATCTAAACTGATAATGTGTGATATCTGACAAGTTATCTGTTCATGACATGTTGACAGTATTGAGTATGTAAGTTGCTTTGGATAAAAGCCTCTAACAAGTGACATGTAATGTAATGTTGATATTTAGATTTGTTATATTTACAAGATTATAGAATTAAAATAAAGAACAAATAACTGAAGTGTTCAAAATTATTTTCTAACACAGGTATTGTGTGATATACTGGATAGTCACAAAGAGGATTTTAAACATTTAAAATGTGTAGTTACAAATCATCCAGACCTTTTCTTTAAATCTCAGGAATTAGATACATAACTGAAAAAACCACATTGATTACTGTGGACAATACCCAGTGGCTGACTTGTGACATTGTGGTATTTAGAAAAGAATTGATTTGTACATCTTGGATGTCAGATAAACAACATCGTCCAATAGGTGACATTTTTAATATCAAGAATCCTAGCAAGAGTTCTGTTAATGGAATTTAGGTTTGATATGTTCATTGACTGAAAAATGTGTGATATTGTTGAAAGGGAACAAGAGTCTTTAAGTAATGTGGGTGGCTCTTAAAAGAGCCGTTGTTTTTTCAGGTATGTCAGGGTGTAGATGTTTAACCTCCGAAGCCGTACAGAGTGCGGCCCTGCCTCTTCAGGGCATACACCACATCCATGGCAGTCACAGTCTTTCTCTTAGCGTGCTCGGTGTAGGTGACGGCATCACGGATCACATTCTCAAGGAAGACCTTCAGCACCCCACGGGTCTCCTCGTAGATCAGACCGGAGATACGCTTCACTCCGCCACGGCGAGCCAGACGGCGAATAGCGGGCTTGGTGATGCCCTGGATGTTATCACGGAGCACTTTGCGGTGACGCTTGGCGCCTCCTTTGCCGAGTCCCTTTCCTCCTTTTCCTCTACCACTCATTTTCGGGTATTGATATGTCGGCTCGTACAGAACGAATGGGTAGAAGCAGTGTGACCGGCAGTATTTAAATATTCACTGCGGACCTAAGAGAAGACGGAGAGCGGTAAAGCTGCTAGGCGGGGCCAACGCTGCAGCCTCCACATTATCTTTCAAAACATTTTCTCTTCCTTTAAATATTGTTTATATAATTCAGTCAGGCTTTGTACTAAGCGTTTGATGATTAAACGTTTGTTAATATATAATAAAACCCTCATATGCTTAATAATTTATAATTTAAATAAGACCCTTTCTGAGATTAACATTACATTTAAAGTTGATCAAAGTATTCAAAAAATACTCTTTATAGGATACATTCATTCTAAACTGTTTCTGAGGAGTCAAGACATACATTTGTATACATAAAACATGTCAACAATTTGACATAAAAGTACGAATTAGTCCAATAGAAACACCTGAATCTATACACTGTATTTAGGTTTGGTTGTGTGGCCATCATTTTTAATAATGAAATTATAAAATGCAATAACGTGCTTTAACCAGTAGGTGTCCCTTTCTATCAGCTGTGCACCATTATAGCATAAATACAGCCCATCTACCAATAGAGTGATATTCTCTGTTTGGATATTATCTGTACCTTATTTTGAGCTTTCCGAACTACTATATAATAGGTATTTCATTACGAATAAAAGTAAGAAGAGCAGAAGCCTACATTAATGACCAAAATAAGCTGAAAAAATTGACATGAAATTCATTAACAAGTTCCATGATCAAACTATGTGTTGTCAGTGTTAACAGTCAGTGGGAGTTCTGCTAAGAGTTAGTGTCTGTTTGAGAGCCTTTGTGACCTTACAGGTTTAGATCTATTTGTCTAACACATTTCAGAATGTAAAAATATATGATAATACTCATACTATATAAATATAGTTGTATTGTGATACATGAGAAAAGCTGTGCTAAATCAAGGTCTCTCACTGTTGAGTAACAAAGACTGTATTTAGAACACAGCCAGGGCCTGTCCTGAGTGTGTTTGCAGACAGCAGAATTACCTCTGTTTAACAAAAAGGTGTTGACACATTTGGATTTGTTTCACATTGAGTCTTTAATCCAACATTTCATTTCACTATATTACAAGTTGTAGTGGGATTATAATGTATTTTAAATCCTTTAAGAGAGAGATTACAGAGAAAAGTCGCAGATCTCTACCACTCACGGCAGCAGTTTTAGGAGGTTTAAAGCCTTCCCAATGAAAAAAACACAATATTTAAAGCTTTATTTGGCTTCTATAACAAGATAAAGTCATCCGCTATCAATTTGATTAACCTTTGAAATTCAACTCGTTCTCTAAATGTGTATTTCTTACAGTTTTAGCTGAAGAGAAAACACAAAGTGGCACAGTTTTTCGGCAGCTCCTGTGTGAGCCACTGAGTTGAGTCTCTACGGTTCTCATGGTGTGTTTAAGTTCCTCTCTTCGCTGGGATTTCTCTATCCGTCTCATCAGACCCAAGAATCCTCCTGACAGCATCATGGCAACAGAAGAAGCTCCCACTGAAGTCGCCGCCGCCCCGGCAAAGGCACCAGCAAAGGCACCAGCCAAGTCCCCGAAGAAGAAGGCAGCCAAGCCGGCCAAGAAGGTTGGTCCCGGAGCCGCTGAGCTCATCTTGAAGGCGGTCACCGCCTCCAAGGACCGTAAAGGGATCTCTTACATCGCTGTGAAGAAGGCGCTGGCCGCTCAGGGCTACGAACACACCGCTCACATTAAACGCGCCGTGAAGAGGTTACTCGAGAATGGATCACTTGTGCAGGTCAAGGGAATCGGAGCCACCGGCTCCTTCAAGGCAGCCGAGAAGCCCAAGAAGGTAGCGAAGAAGCCCGCAGCCAAAGCCAAGAAGCCGGCAGCAGCAGCAGCAGCAAAGAAACCCGCCGCTAAGAAGCCAGCCGCTA